TCGTTGTAAAAGCGATACGAGAAGAAAAGTATTCGAAATAATTAATTTTATAAATAAGATCTATGTGACAGAAACAGTTATAAGAAAGGAACACCAAAATACTGCAAAGTAAATGAAATGCAACAATATTAGTAGTAAAACTCTGTAATCAAAAGGTTGTAATTCAAATAGTCAACATTATTATATAAGCAAATCGTCATTAATCAAATAAACGTCAAATTAATTATCACGAATACCCATTCTTCTCCACCAAACATTCTAATTCTAATGATATTTAATTTTCAATATTGATAAGTAATGCTTGATATAAATAACAGGAAATGAGAGCAAGCGAGCGGTATATAATCAATAAACCACAAGAGGAAGGGATAAGCGGTGCGGAGCGAGAGGAGAGTGCAGGCTGAACGGATGAATAGAGTGTAGCAACTTTGACATGGTGTTGATGACGATGGTGGTGGTGATGGATGATGGGTGATGGGTGATGGGTGATGGGTGATGACGATAACCTCGACGACGATGGAGACTGATATAAGAGCATGGGATATCGTAACAGATAAACTACTAATCAAGTGCATTAACTATAAACTAAGACTAATGTATCAACAATGCAATGTTACATCAGATGCTTCGCAACAATCATATCTAGTCTTGTGATATCTATAATATAACTAATGTCATTATACTCTCTCTCTCTACACTCATTCTGATTCTCTCTCCACCCTGCATCATCTTATCTGCTCCAAAGCCACCTTAAATCCCTTCTCTCTGTCGCTCTTTCGAATCTGTTCTCGGCATAAACATTACTCACCCATACCCAGGTTTACCAATCTCTCCGTCATCATCTTTTTCAATGTTATCATCTTGGATATGCTGTTCCCGTCTTCTAAATAAACTATCCATCCTGGCTAATATATCATTTGCAGCACTCCCAAGTTCCTTCTCAACCTCTTGGAGCTCATTGAATGTGGTTAATACCTCTGCTTGCACTTGTTTGTACCTTCTGTTTTTGCTGTGGCGTTCTGACTTGTGTTTATGAGAAGAGTCAGAAGAAGCGGTGGTCGAAGAAGGAACATCCTTTTGTTTTGATTTCTTGTGAATAGACGTTATTGACTGAGACACTTGTGGAGCATTATCAACCATGGTGAATGTATGAGTATCGTCTATATGCTGACAGTCGAGAGCCTGGTTAATGGGATGAGTGTTGTAGGAATTTTTTACTACTCTTTTTTCTTTTGGTTAATTGACTTGTTGCCCAACTGACTTGGTTAATTGAGTCACTGATTACACCAAGTCGGCTGTTTTGTCGCTACTGATTGTTGTGGCGGTTGTTTGTCGCAGTAGTAGCAGTTGGTATAGTTGGTTTGTTTTTGCGGGTAGTTTATTTATTTCTGCGTTTGCAGTTGTCAGAGATTTTTTCAGGTTACGAGCGGGTGGTTGTTGTGACCAGGAAATGGAAGCCTGTCTGTGGTAGGTTAGGCAGCGCTGCAGTTGACAGCCGAGTAGCCGAATTAGTTATGGTAATAGTGTGTTCTATCGAGCAGCAGTTGAATGAGCGCTGGCTTTTGATAGTCTGCGAGTTTTATGAACCGTATGTATCATGACATACAGAGTGAGAGTAGGAATGAAAGAGAGAGTGACTTGTTGCCTCTCTTATTCAGGTATACTATTTCGGGTGAGTATAATGGTTGTTAGTATTGTATGTGAGTGCGAGTGGATGGGTGTGTAAGTCTCTTTTGGTATTTTGCTATTACTCTTTTTTATTCAGTTAAATTTTTTTAAACATGCTATTCTGTCATGTTCTTTGGGTTAATTCTGCTTACTCTCAGTAGCTATGATAATCGTTTTTGTTGTAGACAATGTATAATAATAAAGCAAAGCGAGTATGTGGGCTTTGATTGGATGATGATCGGATGATGATTGGAGTTCTAGCTCAGCCATCACTATACATGCGTATCACAAAGTGAGTAGAATAATGTGCATTGTGGGTGAGTATTCTGGAGAAAATCACAAATTTGGGTGTTGGTGAGAGGATTGTAGACGGTCTAATAAATAAAAACAATACACAAGACCTTTTGGTAAACAGTAATATTAATAAATCGATCAATTAATTGAAATTGGCTCTTGAATGGTTTAAAATTTTTTATCACCCTCTTTTCCCCCCTCTTATTAATTAAGGTCGGCTGAAAAACATTTTCTAATGATGTAATTCCCAAACATAATATTAAATACGTTGGGATTCATGGCAAAGCCAGTTACACAACACTACACAGGTCATGCCACAAAAAATTTGGTAATTATAATCCTGTGACTTTGAATTGCGTAGTCTAATATTAATATGTGATGTGTGATGTGAGAACACCACATTTTCTGGGTTGAGAGGAAACTATCTCTGAACAGGCAAGTTAGTAGTAGACCTCACACACCGGAATCCAAATTATTCCAGGTCACTAATACTAATAGCAATTTGTTCAAGCCGTGACTGGGTTATGTTAATGTATGCGCATTTGTATTGTTTCCGCCTACTTATTACTTTACAACCGATTTATACGATATCTTCGAGTGAACAATGGGTTTGTGTGCAACACAAATCAAAGACAAGATGGTAAGAGTGTCATGCAAGCGATTCCTGTAATCGCCCTTTGCCATTTTGTGACTTTCCATAAAAAAATATATCATCTGAATTTGCACATATCCGTGGGAGCAGATTGCTAAAAATCAGCTGGTAACTTGTAGGTCGAACGCTTATCTATGACTTCATAGGGCAAATAGTCAAATATACTATAATTGCGCATTTTATATGCTTGAACAATAAACTGCAACATTATACAAATTTGAACGCCAATCTTTTTGGGCAAGTCTTTATAAATTTGAAAAGGCCGTCTCCGGGATCTAGTGTTTAATAGGAGCAACGTGAGTTTCTGAGAAACAAACATTGAAATAAGCAAATAAATCGCAACTAGCGTAACGTCCTTCGCCATTCACGCTGACATGCTGAGCGCCCTGATCTCCAGTTCTTTACCGCCAGTATAATGCATTCCATACGCACTGATAACTCTGGTCAAGGATATTTAACAGGTATAAAAGATGTAATTTTCGCAAATGCAGAAGCGATCTACCAGTTACACGGGTTAAATTGCTTACTGTGATTGGTATGTATTGGGCATATGCATGTGATAATCATCTTATCGCCAATATATCTGTTATTCGAAAATATGCCCATGCATCAGTAATTTGATATATAACTGTGTATACCTGGTGTATACCTGGTATATACTGTTCGCTGTGCATTAGATACGACCTGGTGCATCGTGGTGAGCGCGTACGGTATATCAGCAACATGCTTCGTAACGATCCCTTTGATATACGTATAATACAGAGCGTAGATTTCCCTGTGTGATTTGCATATGACACGTAGTTTCGAATGTGCTAACACAATGCATGTTTTCAAGGATGACTTTTTTTTTTCCGTGAGTGCCGTCATCGCAGGTTTGCATTACAAATATTACTATTGTTACTACGATAGTAGTAAGTATTAGATTAGACACAGATAATCTGTATACATAATAATAAGTAAATCTCAATATTAATATGGGACTGCTTAAAACAAAATCAGTTATGATCGAGTGTCTGAGATACATTCATGTGATCTTCCTTGCTTTTTTCCTTTGGTATTTTTGAATAAGACATCTGGTACTAGTATGCCCAATCCTTGTAAACTCATACGCACGAAACTGGGTCAATACAAGTATTGGAGCAGTGTTCCATGTAATCGCAGAAAACATCGAACGACTTTATAAACATACCAGCATCTTGGACTCTCGAATGATTGCTGCTAATGCATTATATGGTCTTTCATGACACTTCACATATTAGTAATTGGAGTTTTTTCATATCCAAAATTTTGTAAAAGCGAGAACGGTAAACATGTGTTACACTCAAGTAAGTTATGCGAACACTAAAGTCGTGCTTGCATAATGCAGCGTGTCGCATAATAATGACAGATAACAAATTGTTTGGCCAGTCTCGTGACAAGTTTCGCCGCGGGTTGAATTTTCTCTTCGGTTAAAAAGACGAAATCACGCCGAACTCACACTGGGTTGTCTATGTATTGCGTTAACAACATTAACATCCCACCCAAATATCTATTAAAACTAATTTGGTTGGTATTAGTATGTTACACTGAATTATGTAAATGCGGGGAATACATGCTAATAATTATGACTACCCGCTATTACTATAGCGACATTCGTGGCTTGGAAATAAAAGTCGTATGCCATTGAATACATAATTAAACAGAACTAATTATTTGCAATGACTTAATTGACGTTCCTTTGCGTGAAAAAAGTGGCTAGAATATTATCAACCAGTATGCATTGGAAACCCCCTTCCCCCCACAACAGGTTTAAGATCTTGTTTTATCGTCATAATTTAACCTCAGCCCCCAGTTTCAAACATATTGGCCTGTTTTGCAAAGTTCTTCGGGCAATTGATCTCTAATCACAGTAGTTTTCGTAAGCCAAGAATGGTGAACAAACGATGGTCGAGAGATTTACTGTCGAGGGGACTTGCCGAAAGAATGTGATGTTAAGAAAACGTGACACTGCGCTTATCAAATGTTATCTATCCTGTGAAAATTGACATCACTCATACAACAATGAAATTCGGAAAGCATTTGTTAGAAAATCAAGTGGAAGGCTGGGCTGCAAACGTAGGTATACATATTAATATGGGGGAGAGATTCAAACCTGTTTCGAGAAACAGACTCGGCTATTCTGTATAAATCAGACCAGATTTTGAATGGAGAAAATTGGTGCACTCTTACTAATGCAAGACCACTAAAAGTATGTAGACTATAAAAAGCTCAAAAAACTATTAAACCGTTTCAACCGGTAAGCACTTTATGAACATTCGAGATAAGAAGGAACAAAACTTAAATTTCGTGTTTGATAAGCTGTACTTGGTACCAACAAGGATCTCGCCGCATTCATACGTCTCCCTTGATGAATCACCCGTTTGAAAAGCGCGAGTATGCTGTATATAATATTTTATTCACGCCGTCCCTTTCTCTTTCTCCTTTAACGTGGCTTGTTCGTTAGACAAAATTTTGCACATTACGCTCCATACACAGCGGCAGTGGAAAAAGAGTTTTTTGAAACTGTCCGCAGAGAAGTTGACAAGGCCGAGAAATTTTACGTGGATATATTGGACATTTTAAAGACTGACTTTCAGGATTTGGTCTTGCAGAGCTATAGATTGGTGAGTGGTTACAATCTTATAATAACGATCGAGAAAATAGTTTCTACAAATCCCCTTCATTATTGGATCGTATGTATGCATTGGTATCTCAATATGTTTGTTTATGCGTAACCTAATTTGTTATCATTCATGCAGAAACAACCACATACCCGCAAATCAACCACTTCCTCTTCTTCCCTCCCTCTTACTTCTTCTCCTGAACCGCACTATCGTCCAATCGCCTCTGAGTTACATTGCCTGATCCAAACCTTAAACTTGTTAAAATACAATTATCTTCCATTTAGTAAGCTAGCAATTAAAAAGATTTTCAAGAAACATGACAAGATTGTCGGAGCCGTTGCAGTGAACCAAGAGATGGAAGCGTTAAAGTACGACGTTATAGACACGATCACAAACAAAAAGGCATTTTGGGTTAAAGGGGAGAAGAACGTTGGAGAATTATTGAATGAGGCTGAGGTAAGATGTTTGAAAGGAAATTGTGTGTTGAGTTTTTAAGAAGAGACGATTAATAATTGAGGGGGACAAGGATCGTAGAGAAGATTTGGAGCATCTGCAGTACATATCGTGTCAGAGAGGCTTCATTAAGAGTGATTATCTGATAGTGTTACCATCATACGCTGTGGACATTTGCTGAATTAATCCATTATCAACCTTTTTTCTGCATAGAACTTTCAATTGGAAATATGCAAAATGTCTATTCGAAATTATTGCGACATGATCCCTTGAGACATCGAACTCCATTAACTCCACTGGACGTGTGCATTTTCTTTTTTACGTGACATTTCCGTCATGTACTGCACAGACCATAACTGAGACTGGTTTTTGAAGTTGTTAATAATGAGGGTTGTGGTCTCGACTTTTTCTTTTTATCCGACACTTATATCATAACTTTTGTCAGTATCCGACAGTAGTACACGAACACTTCACTTCTAACGCATTTGCCAACACGGATAATAGAGTTACAATTTCAAAAAATAACAATTAATATTAATTGTCTTTTTGCATCATCAAGAACATTTTATGTTTATTTGCATCTCATCATTTATTTCATTCTGATTAACAATAAATCGGATTTTTTACCGTTCTTTATTTGTCCTGGATCAATAACTATTTATTCTTACACATATTTTCTTTTTACTCTCTACCCACTCACTATCTTAAATTCATACCTTTCTGCCAAACAAGGAACAATAAACTAATCGGATTGAAGGAAATGACTTTTTTATTGTTGCGGCTCCGATTTGAGTAGTCAAATTTTCGGTCGTATATTTCATAACTTATATGAATTCAAACGAAAAATCGCTGAAACACCGACCGATTTGTCTCAATCAGTATTGTCATCGTCTATTGACATTGTTGGATTATTTTAATATTAAAATTTGTTGATTCTATGGATGTGTATATAAATACGCACACAAACAGGAATATACTATAAGATTGGTTCATTGTCCAAGTAATTAACAAGAATGACCGGTATAGCGATCAGCACCGCTATACGAGGGAGCCTAAAACCTCGCGCCAACTTTCCGTCCTTTGCGTATTATCTCGTAATTGGCGATTGATGATCATGACTTCAATGTGACTTCTTACTTTTCTTTCTCAACTACAGTCAAACTCTTTATACCGAGAACTGGTTTATACCGATAAAGTTCGTTTACCCGAACCAGTCCTACTGGATTATACTGCTTATGCCGATAAACTTCTTTATTGGCTATACCGATACAATCTTCGGAACGGTTGATGTTCTGACCCAAATCGTAATTCGATGTTATCACATAGTTATTAGTGCTGTTGTACAGATAAAGTTCATTGGTGGCCAGAGCATCACTTTGTGCTTATTGTGGACGATTTGGGTCAGAACATTATGGATATCGCACCCCCCATACACTACTATTGAACCAAAGCAACGTGCTTCAAATGACGAATTCTTATCGCTAGAACCCTCAATTTGAAAAGAATTTGGCGAAGTATTACAAGAACTCGTGCAGAAAATGGAAGAAGAAATTAATTGCCACGATTTTTATATTTCTGTGCAAGTAGGAAAAGAAAATAAGTTAATAAAAAACGAAAGAATTGGGGAGAAAGTTTTTCTGAACTAGATCAACTAGAATATTACTCTTGTGCTGTTTCCCAAAATTCACTTTGCAAAAATGATGAGGCAGAAACCGCGGAGAAGGAAGACCACTTAATAAAGCCGGTAAATTTGTTGGTACCATGGAAAACGAAATAATAGCTGAAAAATTAAAAGATCCTGAAGCATATTACTTAAAATGAAAAGGTAATAAAGACTATCTTAAACATAAAGAACAAAAATTGAGAGAATGAAGAGAACAAAACCGAGGAATAATCTCTCAATTGAAAAGTGAGATTAAACAAAAAGAATGAGAAATTGAAAATATCGGCGCATGACAAGGAATTACAAAACAAAAAAAAAGCAGAATTAGCTAGATTAGAAGCTCAAATAGAGAGTGAAAGAGAAGTTGCTAATCGAATTCCATGAATTGGATTAGGAATAGTTTTAGCTATTATTATTATCACTACACTAAGCACATATTTATTAATTAATGAGGAACTAAAGAAAACAGAAAATTACTGGTAATTCCGATTAAATAAGAGAACAAAGTTTACTTCAACATTTTTTTGTTTAGTATAAAAATTACTTAATTACATTTTGCATTGGCTAATGTCTTTAAATTCATCTCTAACAAATGGGTGAATATTATTATTATGATAAAGATATTCTTGTCTTTTGTAATCCAAATAAGGAATTAGTACTAGGATGGAAAAGGATTTAATTTCTTTGATTATTTTAGAGATACTTGCTTTTCTGGTTTTCAATAAATTAAATTCAGTATAGCACTATTAGCAACTGTTTGAGCTTTGACAATTCCAGGATTAGTTGCTTCAAAGAGAAAATGCTGATATTTTTGTAAACCATTCAATTTCTTAAACACAGAATTAAAATCTAAGTATCAAAAGCCTTTCCCATTGTCACAACACTAAGCTTTGTTTAATCTTGCTGTACTCAGTCTTTTCACAACCTCAACAACATGATCTACAGTATAGTTTCTTGGTCAATCCAAAACTACCATTTAGAATGTCCAGAAGAAGACATAAGTTCTGGCAAAATCAGTCAGCATGCCTACTGGTTTGCATGTTGACATATTGTTCACAGCAAATAGCTCAACAATAACCTGGTTTTCATCATTATCCTGTAATGTAATGAAATGTCAGTACAACTGTGGATTACCAAGAAAGCACTCAGAGTTTTCACCACAGAACCTTTTTCAATTCAAAAAATAATGTTATAACATCTTGATCATGAAATGCTCAAACTCTTGATCTCTAAGTGTTTGGATATCAATTTGGGGAAGAGTATATTTCTCAAAAAAGCTGTCTGGATAAACAATTACATCAGTTGTACCATGAGCCCTACTGAAATTCCATAGCTGCTTATTCGCATGAACATCCTTCACAATAAATTTGTCAACATATGGAGATCCTAGGAATGTCTCCTCAATGTACTTGGTATACTGCACTGCATCCATGTCACCTTTCCATCAGTACCATAGTGTTTTGCAAGTTTAAACATCTTCTCTGTGTTCATAGAAGACAGAGCAACTGTCTTGTCAGCATCAAAATGATGCTTTAGCTCCTTGAGATCAATGCTGTATGTCTCCAACATATGTCTAATATCACTTACAGTCATCAGGCCTACAGAGAAATACACAAGATGTTATTCAGCAGAGAAGTTTTTTGTGCAACCATCAACAGATCCTTACTCAGTGGTTCACTTGTACCCAGCTCTATTGAAAAGGAACCAATATGCACAACAAGACAGAAAGAAGCGAGGTTCCAGTGAACAGTGACTGTAAAATTCTATTGAAGTGTTACGGCAAGCTGATCTGATGAATCAGATAAGTTAGTCACATGATAAAATCTTCCTCCGCAGTTAAACAAACCCATGATCGGCACTAATTTTAGTTTAGTAATACAGATATTAATTTAGTAGCGTGTCGCAAAATATGTGACAGCACAAACGCTAAAATTAATTGTTCTTCATAATATAATAATTTATATAGAAACGTGTCGTTTTTCTTGTGACAGAAAAGATATATAAGTAGCTCTTCTTTCATCGTCAAATGATATAATAAATAATGTTGAATGTTATACAGTGGACTCTCCCTAAGTGCATGATCCCTAAGTGCATTGTCCCTCTAAGTGCAGGAAATAATCTGGTCCCATGTTGGGACCTATGGGATAAGTGCAGGTTCTCCCTATTCTATAAGTGCAGAAGTGCACGATATTTGTTGGCCCTTATATGTAAAAAACTCTCCGTAAGTGCAAATAGCCAATAAAATTTATAGATCATTTCTATTTAAGTACTAGTACTGCTGATCAGTCGCGATCACTCTTTAATCTTTAGAATGCCTAAAATTAAAAGAACTACATTAACAAACAAGCAAAAATTGCTTGTTCTCAAATACAAAGACAGTAACCCCAATGCTACCCATGTAAATGTTGCTCAATGGGTTAAGACAACATTGAACTTAGACATCCACCCAACAACTGTTGGACGTTTACTGAAGCGAAATGACATCAAGGAATGTGAAAATGTCTCTAATTCCAAAAGATCACGAACTGTTCAATATCCTGATCTTGAAAACGCAATGTATGAATGGGTCATACAGTATCAAACTCATGTTACATTAACTGATGAAATCTTAAAAGAAAAAGCGAAACAGTTTGCGAAGCTGTTGAATATATCCGAAGATAAATTTAAATTTTCGACTGGTTGGTTAGCAAAGTTCAAGAAAAGACACAATATTACAAAAGTAAAACGACATGGAGAAAGTGCCTCAGCAGATCATGCTGCAGTAGATATCGCTATTCCTGAATTTAGAGAACTGTTAGCGCAATATAATCCACAAGACATATATAACATGGATGAGACGGGATTGTTTTACAGGTACAGTAAAGTGCAATCGCTATTGTATTTTGCAAATAATCACATTCTGTTAATGGGTTAATAGGCTAGAACCAGACACGACATTAGCAAAACCCGCTTAAGTGGCAGGAAAAAAAATAAAGAGCGATTGACAGTTGCACTTTGTGCAAACGCTAATGGAACAGACAAACTCAAGCCGCTAGTAATCGGTAAGTATTTGAACCCACGATGCTTTAAACGTATTAACCGTAATAGTCTTGGTGTGATGTACGAGGCCAATGCGAAGGCGTGGATGACAGGGCGTGTGTTTGAACGATGGCTAAAAGCTTTCGACCAGCGAATTACTGGGCGCAAAGTCATTCTTTTAATAGATAATGCACCCAGCCATGCTGTTAATGCCGTTGAACTCCGAAATACAACTATACGTTTTCTACCTCCGAACACGACTTCCAGAATTCAGCCGATGGACGCGGGT